AGGAACGATACACTGCCAACACCATCTCTTACATGAATGCCCGCATGCAAGATTACTTCTGCAAACAACATCACATGTATACCCTGGAGCATTAGTGTCCTCGTAGCAGGCCACCGATACTTCATGGCCACAGCCACGAACCTTCTTTTTGACTAACGTGGTACACTGAACCAAAGATAAATTCTGTGCTTGCCAGCAAAAGAGTTCCGTTGCCTGATGCCCGCATGGGAGCATTCTATCGTTGTCGGAAACCACTACTTTACATTTTAGAGGGCATTTATCGCCACATTTTTGGGGGCATGGATGGCTGCATCCCGGTAAGGGCCGATGACAGGGCTCGGTACAATACACCGCGTCATGAAGCAAGGTTGAGTGGCACTTTTGAATGCATGCATGCCCACAAGAGAGCCTTTTCGTACAACGCAGATTGCAGCCTCCTTCTGGTGAATATTTGACAAAGTCATCCGGATGTTTCACAAAAATGGGAGTATCTCGGTGTCGACTACATTCCAACTCTAGACTGGTACCAAAATTGTTGTTTTCTTGTAGAATGCCGATGACCTGTGACCACATGGGTATATGGCTTGAAGTGACGGAATTACCAATAATGTACATTCCATGCCTGGCTCGGGAGAGCAAGACGTTGATGCGGTTAGGTGTTCGCAGAAAACCGCATTGATTCCGTTTGTTGCTTCTAACTAGTGAGATCACTACTATCTTTGCCTCCTCGCCTTGGAAGTTGTCAACAGTCGCTAACCTCACGGTCTGGAGCAATGTACCTCTTGCCGCCGGTCTAGAGGACGGGATAACTCCATCACCCAAGCCAACCTGGTCAAGCTCCTTTTGGTCGCGTTCACCGAGGGTTATTGCATACGATTCATTCAAATACATTCTTAGCCTATGTAATTGGCCAAGGTACGGGGTTATCACAGCTATGTCGCCATTTTGGTATGTCCCTTGACGAACCAAATGGTTAACAAGAGCTGTTGCCATTTTAATTTCATGCTCGTTCCAGCGGGAAGTTGCCGTCGAGTCATCTTGAGACGCATTTCCCTCTTGCTCCTGGTGGTGAAGCCAGTACAGCCGTCGACGCATACCACTGACGGGTGGATGTAAAGCCACAGACGGAGCATCTTCCAATTGGGGATATAGGGTATCCCTAACTAGCTGTGCGATCGATGGGTGCATTCGCCTTTGAGACTTAAGTGTAGAAAAAGGTAACTGCACTCCAGTGCCTGTCGGAGGCTTCACCAGTCTTTCGAACAAGGACACGTCTAATGAATATTGCTCACCTCCTCTATGATTTTCCCTGGAAAGCTCATGATTTTGAATTTGCGGTCGAAGTTGAAGATGGTCGCCGATCAGTATCAGATGTTCAACAGATGGTAGCAGGGTAGTGAGTAGATGGGCTTCCAGAACTTCTCCAGCCTCCTCGCAGAGCACTACCTTTGATTGTAAGTGCCGCAACATGTTGAGATTTTGTGCCAGACCTGTTGTCGTCATTCCAACGACATGTGCACTACGAAGGCAACGCAGGTTCTGTTCGTCCTTGATTTGATAGAATTGACTTTTCATTTCTCCGTGTGAAAGATAAATTTGTTCGGCCTTTGCTCTTAGCGCTTCTGTCATCTCAGTATGCCAGTGATCATACAGAAATACCCTTTCTTTTGACGACATCTGATCGATTTTGGCGTTCATAAGCTCCTGTATCGATCTGCGCTTTTCCGTGCTCTTGTGGCCAGTCTTTAACCAGTGCTGGATTGGCTTTGATGACTGTTTTCGTGTTGCCCTTCTAAATCCGTCCTCATCCGCATCAAAAAACTGAGTATAAAAGTACCTATAATGGTCTTTTAGATGGATTTTCATTCTCTCCGCTGAACCAAGGGTCCGAAGCCCCAATTTTCGGAAATCTTCTTCGCTTTGGCTTAAGCGCTGCCACAGACCAGTTTGATCGGCCTTTTCGACCCTAGTTTTCTCAACATTTTTTACCACTTTTCTCAGAAGCAGTGGTTCTAGTCTCTCTGACTTTGACTGGGAGCCTACTCGAATAATTTGGGCAGTGATTTCTTGTTCAAGAAGATCCTCTAACAGTTGGTCAAGCGCGTGGTTAGTATAGCATACGCATATTATTGGGCCGATATTTGCTCCTGCTTTATCTCTATTTGCCAATAAGGCCCTCACAAGGGCAGCGCCAGTGTAGCTTTTCCCGGTACCAGGAGGCCCTTGGATGAGTGCAATGCGCCGTTGGAGGGAGTTAACAAGCGCAATAGCCTGGGCATTATCTAAGGTTGAGTTCTCCTGCAGCATCGTGACATCAACTTGTTTTCCAGGTCTGACCTCTAACCTAGACTGATCGAGCATCAAGCAGCTTAGATCGAAACTAAAGCCGGGTTTTGTTGCATAGAGCGGCGGTGGCAGATCAGCTGTATACAAGGGATTCCCTGGTGCAGGAGGTGTGAGAAATTCCGCGAAAGGAATATTAGCCGCTTTTTTCATCCCTTGGAGAGCGAGTAGCGTTGGCTGAAATGCTGCCAGTAATATACCGGGGAACTCCACCAAGGAGATATCCAAAGGTTTTGTTCTCAATAGGCGCAGGACATGTTGAAAGTTCGCTAGGCCACCCTCCACCAATTCCAAGGGTATATATGCCAACTTCTCGTTCTCCCATAGAGACTGGATTTTTGGCTGCAAGGGTTCATTATTGAAACTTATAGGCCGAATCTGTTCCGTTGCCCTACAAAATACACAGAAACCATGAGGGTCTGTCAAGCAAACTAGGGCGCCATTTTGCAACCTTTTGGAATTTTTCCACCAGTCTTGTCTCTGCTTTGATGTGAAGCCGTGGGCACTCTTGGGTTGTTGAAATGCCCCTAGGAACTGGAAACCGGAAAATTGACTAAGGAAAACATCCACAATTCTGATATTCCTGTACACATGCGTTCGGACCTGACTCCTTTCCCCAGGTGAACCATTTGATGGCATCATTTCAGCATGGATTGCATCACTAAGTTGGCCGACAGTATCCTGCCGAAGAAGACGGAAGTTCCTGTCTAAAAGCCCAGCTATACCGCCGATATGCCATTGTTGAGGATCTTGTACAGGCAGATACTCAGTCCTTGTGCATACTATTTCCTGGAATGTGGGCATAATCGTGATGTCGCAGATGTCTGGGAAATCATTGTCATGACGTCCTCCTGGAGGATCACGTTTGGTGACAAAAACGGCTGCGGCCTTCTTATGACTTGCAGATTGGGTCATCTCATATACTGTGGGTAAAGCATTCCCAATTCCTAGGCGAAGGTTAATACGCTTCAGGCGCTCTTGGGCCTGAAGCAGGTTAGTCGTTGTTCCTTGCTTTGCGGACTCTTCGAGTATCTCCCGGAAACCTTGGGCCAACAGCTGGAAGGGCTCATGGATGAGCGCTGCGGAATTCATTTCAATGACTTTTAAGAAAACAAGTAGACAAATCTCTAAGTGCCGAATGCTGGAATCAGTTAGGTTTGGGCAATTCTCTTCCATGGCTTCAACTAGAAATTTCATCAGGGGTGTCGCTCGCCGACCTTGAAGGCCGAAAATAACGTTATATATGGTTCCGACAGATTGTTCTAGAACAAGAGAGCCTAGGACATTCGGGTGGGTTATGATTTCGAAAAACGGTAGCATCTGATCTCTGAAAATGGTCCGTTTTGTCGAAGTGGTCATCTCCTCATACTCACGTTCGATTAGTTCCTGGACTCGTCTTAACCCAGCATCTTTGGAAAGGTAGCGAATGACATCCTGCAAGGTCGTATCGCTGATCTCAACAAGATCTCGTGCTTCTCTAAAGAAGCTGGCTAACTTTGTTCCTAGCGGGCGGCTTATATCCGGGCTTAGATGGGCATTCCCCATCCATCGTTTTAAACGCTGATCACCGTCATTGTCCCTATTCTGATGGTTTCTCACTTTCCATGGTGAGCTCGCATTCCTGGAGAGTTGTTCGCCGGTTGTATGAAGGAATTTGCAATTTCTATATTTACAATTCCTGCCGTGGCGACAAATTCTTGATTTATAAATCAGCTTTCTTCAAGATATTTGCCTTGACTTAGGCTCCTTACCTTGGTTGAGTCATGGTTGAAACTCTTGTGCCATCTAGAAGCTAAAGGCTTCAAAAGTAGTGCACTGTATTCAAATATAAATCAATATTGAGTGACTTGTGAGAAGTTTACGGCTTGATAACCTGTAGCAGATTGGAAATCAACAGCAACAAGTTGAATGTAAGTGATTAATATCACTATGCCTTCAGTTCACAGTTGGCTTGCCATCAAACTTTGACACAGGATTGTGGTTCAGAGCACCATCAACTGCGCTCCCCCTCTCTCTCTTGAGAGAAAGAAAAGATTCGAGGCTCTCAGTAACAGAAATGGAGGGAATAAGACCTTCTCACTCGCTAGTTGGGGATGCTTCGAGCTTGGGTATTCACAGAAGCAATTCACAACAACATACCTTTGAAGGTAAACTTTTCTTTCTTTTTTCTGCTCAATTCTTCAAGCCGGAAGGCAGGTAACAAGATCTTCTGTTTTTTCTCCCAGATTCCTGGCAGATGAACGAAAGCGAGTGGAAGTGAGATAATTTGCTGGGATGGTTGGTCGAGCTTCGTGGTATCTCACTTCTCTTTCTAAAGGGAGCAGCTGGTGAAATTCCGTCATAATGACCGTCTCTGTTATGTGTCATAATACTAGCTAATAATTAGCTAGCGAGAACACATTCTTTGTTGAATATCGGGAGTTGCCTTGAATATTCAGGCAAGCTCCACGCTGAGGCAGTCATATCTAATGTTCAACTTGATCACCCTCGGCACATTTTCCAAAATAGTAGTACCTGATAGTGTAATAAATAGTAATTGGCTATATAAATAGTAAGTAAAGAATTAGAGTATCAATCATAGGGAAAATAATTCCTTAGCTGTATTCCAACATGGAGATTGGAGATTGATTGGAGGTTGAAAAGGGAAAAAAAAAGAATCTCCCGACCCAGAATCGAACTAGGGACCTTTCGATGACAATATTCAATTACAGTCGAACGTGATGAACCAACTACACCATCAGGAGCTGTTTCTTGAACCTTAAACAAGGTTTTTTGATCATCATCTTGAGATCGCCATCTTCGAAGAGAGAAACACCAATCAGTATCTTGATACCGAAAAACCGTATCCGAGACTATCAAAAGCAATAACAAGCAGATATGAAATTGGTATCGATTTAAAACGTGAAAGCAAAAAGAAACACCTTGCTCCTCCATATCCAACACCATTCCACTTCCGAATCCCGAATCCTTCGATGATCTTCGTATTAAGGCAGTATCTTCATTAACTAAAGTTGAACTTTCAAGTTTTTCATGATCGAGGCGGTGGGCTAAAATTCATATGGCTTGGGGCAGAATACGGCGCTGTAACAGGAAAACCTGCACCTGGTCGAGCTGCTTCTTCACGAGTCCTAATTTCCCTCTCATCTTGGATGAGGGTGCAACACATGCAGCATGATGCCCGGACACAGTCTGCCATGAATCCTCCCGGTATGCCATACGCTCGCCGAATGCGGGTATGTTGGATAGTAGATAGAAGCCCTGTTAATTGTATTTAGTGGGTTAGCCCGGAATTGTTCCTTATTTCAAAAGTAGTGGAAGAGAAATTTGTATGAATAGAAAGAGAACCCGTACATTGACACCCGCACAACAATGCCATTGCAGTGCATGATGCATTGCAGACCTCATATCCAAGCATGTTAGTTGGGTCTTTGCGCTTTGATTTCCTCGATAAGCGATACTGAGTTTTGCCATACAGAATACATGGGCAGAATAATCCTAAGCAGCATGTGGCAATGTCTGTTGGATGGCATAACCCGTATGTCCACGTTCCACCTTTCATGCCTTGCTGGGGATGAACAGCCTGTCCGGGTATATGACTGAATATATCTGGAGTTCCATTGGCAGTAGCCGTAGAACCAAATCCTACTTGGGTCCCGACTCTAGAGGCGGCTCTGGAATGATATGTCGGGGCAGGGGAACGTGACAGGAGTGGATTGTCATCTGGAGCAATATGGATATGACTTAATGGTCTAGTTTGGTTGTCAATTGGTGGGTTTAGCTTGGGAGGAAGAGGGCCAGGAGAAGCAGGTGGCTCTTGCTGTGGTACTTGACTATTTGTGTATGTGTATTGTGTCGGTGCCTCTGCCTGTGGATGCTGGGGTGGTGGTGGGTCAGTTTCATCTGCCAGGGGCGCAAATTGTGCTGGATGCTGAGAAAGCGGGGGCGGGACTGGCATGGAGTTGTGATAAGAATAATCGAAATGGGGTTGATCGATGCCCCTATCACTGGACTGCATGGAGTGATTGGAATGGTCTTTGGGCGGCATCGATGGTAGTGGAGGTGGAGGCGGCGGCTCTTCTTCCTCCGATGTTCGCTCTCTTATGGATGGGACATACGAGAATGGTCGAGCAATAGTGTGGTGGGTGTGTGAATGTATATGTGCCCGCTCGGGGGCCAATAGTCGGGTTGTGGGTTCTGTGCTATGGTTCTGCTTCTGTTGCTGTAGGGCATGCAGTTGCAAATGCGATGGAAAGCTCGGGGCTTGGATTGAAACGGGTGTTTTCTGAATGGAAAATGGACGAGGTTGCCGTTCACCATGGTCTTGCTCGCTTCCAGATTGTGACTGAGGCCCCGACATCGTTATCACCGTTGACTATTGATAGAATACCAGATGAAAGACGTAAGGTGAGGCCAGGTCATCCGGCAGTTTGTGAGAATTTTGCTTCTCACTTGGGAAACAATGGGAATTAATTTGATCGAGGAAAGCCGGGGGGGTTTCGATTCAATTATCGTGGAAGGTTACTCAAGTAAATACGGACGATTCACCCGCACTGCATCAGGCCTTCCGTACCAGCTATTCCAATGTGGAAAAAAAGGGCTCTTCTGTGCAGAGAATATAAGGATAAAGGTGTCATTCCCTGAAATCTATGTTGAAATGAAACTGTTGGATTAAAAAGGGATCGAAGGCCCTGAACGGGCGCTTAAAGCCACCAGGCTGATCACAGAGAGCTAAGGGTGATGAACGGAGCCAGGATTCTCGCCAAGTGCATGGCCCCAGCCCGAAATGTTCCCACTGCTAAATATACAAACCCGTTGGCCACTGAGGGCGCGTAAACCCGCCCTTTCGACAGGCTGTGCTGGCCCCGTGGAGATCTCTGAATCCACCATCCGCCTCCCCACTGGCAAGTCGCAGTGGCCCATGATGTGACGAGATGACAATGCCTGTGCCTATCCCATGTCTGGCTCCTGGTAAGTACAGGTGAGTCTCTTCCCTTTCCCTGGATAGGCAGTTCAATTTCCATTGTTGAACGGGCTGGGTGTGATTATGCATGGGAGGAACCTTTAATTCCCGTAAACAGCATAGCCCATGCCCATCCCTTCTATATCCGATCACGTTCAGCAAGTAATAGCACCAAAGCAGAGAGTAATTCATCACCGAATACATAACTGTATATCGACACTGAAATCTTCTAAACTCCTAGTTATATCGGTCTATAATCAATGTCGGAACAACAAAATCGGATATGAGCATTGATTTTCTACGGAGTATATCCTCGTTAGATCTTAGATTTCAGGGACCCTTCAAGCAGACCCTGCAGGGAGGCTGGGTTAGTTTCTTGCTGGCCGTCTTCACAACATTTTCCTCTGTGTTTCATTCGTTGCTTTCCATCCAGATTTCTGGCTACGAGGTTCCTTCCGAACTCAAGTCAAGTCAAGGGATTTATATATATCTCCCGCTTGCCGCCCGCCTACTTGAGAGCGATTAGTATTTAAATCGACGCCCAGGGGAGGAAATCGGTGAATACGGGGCTCATCCCACCACTCGCGATTACATTCTAGTCTGAATAGGTAGTTTCTGGAATTACGGCCTCGAACAGCAATTGTGCCAGAAGATGGTTGACAGTCTTTGTTTGAGTCTCTCCACATCATTACCTTTACCTAATTCCTGCTTCGCTAACTAGTTATTTGATGATGCTCGAGCTAACCAAGTGACTTGTGCTATAGAATACGGAGTGCTCGGGGGGACAAAACGGTTAATGTAGGTAAAACTTGTGTCGCCGTTGGTTTGAAGTTGTTTTGAGCACAAAGAGAGAGCAGGTAATACTGCGTACTCCGTACACCGCGAAAAACGGCGACCGGAGGGAGAGGACTTTGTGCTACATGAAAAGGCTAAGCGACAACCGTCTGTCCTTGTTCGTCTCCGTTCTTTGTTTGATTTCAACCCAAAAACCTGAAGATTTCGCTCGGCTTGCACGCTTTGTGACTGGCTTGCAACAGCCTGGCCCACTTGCCTGTTCATGCAGCTCATGATCTAGTTAAATGCTGCTTCTGTGGCTGTGCCTTGCATGTGAAGAATCCTGAGGATCAGGAGTTGATAAAAATAAAAATAAAAAAAAACAAGAAAAAAGAAAGAAAATACGATGAAGCGCATTTTATTCGTTCTGCTGGGATGCAAGTGGTATTGGGTAGTTTTAATTAGAAAGTTATGTACATAACAGCCCCGATCCATTAAACTCAAAAAAAAATCCACGGGGCATAACATCCGTTTATAGAATGAGAACAAGTATGAGATCTGCTTTTTGCATCTCACTTACTCTCGCTTCACCAACGAGACAGGAGGAACGTAAGTGAACCTGCCGAAAATCACATAATAGATTGTGGCGAAAATGATGATGGCCGAGTACATGACGATCCCCCAGTTCATATTTACCGGTTCGGGATTGACTGTCAAAGGGAAGAAGGCGAACACAAACATGGGCAAGAGATAGCATAGGGCACCGATATTCACTGCCATTCCGAACTTGCCGAGAGTCCAGCGGCGAGCCGGGAGGGTTTGACCCCGGATGCGGCGCAATAGAACGCAGGAGATAGAGATGATATAGGATGAAAGAAGAGCGGAGTTGGTCAAAGAAATAATGGCATTTAGGGCAACCGCAGAACCTAGATTGATTAATGATAGACCTGCTGTGAAAGCAAGGGAAACAAACACTGCGGGCAGTGGGATATTCCAGTTCAATGGAACCTGTAAGTAAACTCTGTTTAGTATAACTTTTTTTTTGTTTTGCAGATAAAGAGTGAATGAATGGGATGTCATCATACATATGAGAGAGTGCTAGCAAATGGTGTGCCTCCATCACGGGCAAAGGACCACAGCTGTCTAGAAGCAGTGGCAATTTCACTGATGGCACTGGCGGTCAGAGTAATCACAACAACGGAGACCATCGCAGACGCAGAGCTATAGTTTTGGGTTGCATTATAGAATACTTGGATGAAGGGGAACCCCGTTTTAGTGGCAAGCACGGATTCGATATCACCCATGGTAAAGCACAAGGTAACCATCATGATGAAACCGAGTACGCCATTAATGGCAATAGCCGTTATCATAGCTTTGGGAAGTGTTCGAGATGCGTCCTTGACTTCCTCGCCTGTAGTCCCAGCAAATAGGATTAGTTAGTAAAAGATAGACAATGAATGCAAGGCCTTGACAGGGGTGGGTTTGCAACGTACACATGTGAACAGCGCAATCAAAACCAATCATAGATGGCAAAGATGAGGAGAAGCCAACTAGCACGGAAGTGCCTACGGAGCTCCAACCGCCTCCATTACTGAACTCTGTGAACACAAATTTGGCGGAATGGCGGGGAGCTAGGATCCAGAGGGGGATGACAATGAAGAAGACGCCCAAGACGTGAAGAATCAAAAGCAGGCCTTCAACCATTGGCAACTTCTTTGCCAGAACGGTGTTGAAGAAGATAGCAAAGGTGGTAATTGCAATGACTAAAAGGGTTCCATGCCAGGCTTGGGGCTGGTATGTTTCGCTATTCAAGGTGATTAGCCCTTGGATGATGGTTCCGGCCATGAAAGATATGGCGGTGATAGTACATTGCCACCCCGTACAGGTTAGCCAACCTGAGCAGACACGAGTTAGCGATAAGGCCATGAAAAACAAATTAACACTTCAAATGATTGGGCCGCACCTGTTAAGTAGCTTAGGTATTTCTGGCCTGTTGCAGGTGCAAATTCA